GAAGGCAAAGAGGTTTCAGTTGGAAGGCAACCAGGTTGGCTGCTACACTGTGCTCCACATGTGTTTCAGAGTCATAAAATATCCCGAGTTGGGAGGGACCTTGAGGATCATAGAATAGAATCAATTGGGTTGGAAAAGACCTCCAAGATCATCCAGTCCAATCCTACCATGGTTACTAGCCCATGGCACTAAGTGCCACATCCAGTCTCACCTTGAAAACCTCCAGGGATGGTGAATCCACCACCTCCCTGGGCAGCACATTCCAATGTCTGATCACTCTCTCTGTAAAAAATCTCTTCCTAATATCCAACCTAACCCTCCCCTGGCAGAGCTTGAGTCTGTGCCCTCTTGTCCTGCTGCTGGTTGCCTGGGAGAAGAGACCAACCCCCACCTGACTCCAACCTCCTGTCAGGGAGTTGCAGAGTGTGATGAGGTCTACCCTGAGCCTCCTCTTCTCCAGGCTGGACACCCCCAAAGTTGTTTGGGGTACAACAAAACAACTGAGTACAACTCTTGGCCCTGCACACAACACCCCCATGTACCAGTGAAGTACACAGCAGTAGCAGGGGGTTTATTTTTAGTCTTCTAAATTAGTCTGACATGTTTTTGAATACACAGACACAAAATAAGCTGTGTCTAAAGGAAGTAGTTGCTATTTGTTCATGGACTTTATACATGCTTAAATGAAGAGGAGATGGACACGCTTGAAATCTGCTCTAGAGCAGCTTCTGTAGCCAGAGGTTTGCTAAATGAAGTGGATTTCAGTGCCCTTCAGTAAAACTTTCTCTCTTCTTTGATAAAACAGTCGTTAGGGAGATAGATCCTTTCCATCTCCAGCCCTGAGAACTTGGGGATTGGTGTAACTCATCCTGAAGCTAGAGAAGATATTGCTGCACTTAGAATCATGGAATGTGTTGAGTTGGAAGGAGGAGATAATCCCACTCTCTGCTCTGCTGCTCTTCCCTGCAGCTCGAGGGTTGGACATCCCTTCCATAAAGACAGTCATCAACTACGACGTGGCTCGGGACATCGACACCCACACCCACCGGATCGGCCGCACGGGCAGGGCGGGCGAGAAGGGAGTTGCCTACACTCTGCTCACTCCCAAGGACAGCAACTTTGCTGGAGACCTGGTCAGGAACCTGGAAGGTGCCAATCAGCATGTCTCCAAAGAGCTGTTGGATCTGGCAATGCAGGTATGAACCACCAGAACTCCTTGACTAAAGGTTCATTCTGTGATCAGCACAACATCAGGAGCTCAGAGACTTGTTTTGGGCTCCATCATGTGTTAGCAGGGACCTTCTGGGGATCTGCCCTGGTTTTAATAGGGTTCCTGGTGGTTTTAGTGGCCTTTGAAGGAATCCACTTGGTTGTGCTGACAGAACCTCATTTCTCCTTGGCCAGGCAGTGAACTAATCCAATGAAGCCAAAGTGTGAGCAAGTGCAGAGCTCCCAACCATTACAAACTTATTTATTCCTGTGTTTATTAGCATGTAAACCCCAAGAACTTTTCAAAGTGAAAGTTGAGGGCATACAATTACTTTGCATTTCTAACACTCCATGGCAGAACTGTGCTGGGATGGCAAACAGCATTTCTATTGTCCTTTTGAAACGCTCAAAATCCTTTATTTTTTTTGTTTTTCTGAGCCTCGTTACATGCATTTATGATGCTGTTTATTCCCTGGGTTGAGAAGCCTTTGTCTTTCTGTTGCAGAATCCATGGTTCAGGAAATCTCGTTTCAAAGGAGGGAAAGGCAAAAAGCTGAATATTGGTGGTGGTGGATTGGGATACCGCGAACGCCCTGGGCTGGGCTCGGAGAATTCTGTGAGTAGAGAGGCTGAAGAGGTTCAAACATCTTAGCACTGGATTGTAGTCTCTGTTTTAAAGGTTTTCACAGCTCAGCATCTCTCAGAGTTAGTGTCAAATACCTCGAGTGAAACTCTCCCTGTGCTGTTATCCCCTTGTTAAGAGCTGCTCTCCTTAGGGCCAGAGTGATCCAGATGGTTTGGAGATTCTTCCCAAAATAGACTGTCAGAGCAAAAGAAATGTTAATTTTAAAAGCAATTTCTAGGCTGATTTTTGGCAGACAAAAGTCTGGGGACACTGAGTAAGATACATCCATGCTGGGAAGCAGCTCATTGCCAGGGTGTGTGGGGACAGAGCTCAGCTGGGGCCGTGCTGGAAACACATCTTGGAATGGTTTGGGTTGGAAGGAGCTTAAAGAAAATCCCATTCAACCCCCTGCCATGGGCAGGGACTCCTTCCACTAGACCAGGTGCTCCAAGCCCTGTCCAACCTGGCCTTGGATACTTCCATGTTCAGCATCTTTCCAAAAGCCTCACCTTGTTCACCCTTTGTCCTGACTGTGACCTGTGTGGAAACCTCCATTTGATTGCATTTGTCTTTTAATTGCTCTGAAGGACCTGAAAATTGCAGTTACACTTAGCAGTGAGTCACTGAGACTTAAAGCTGCTTTAATTTGTCATCCTCGAGGAGCAAAACTGTTGTGCTGCTCAGAGCTCTCCACAAGTCTGTCATCCTTAGTTGGTGTATCTCCTGAGGGGGAGGGTCAGGATGGGTTTGGAGAGGGGTTGAGCTGAGAGTGTCTGTGTGGGATAAAACTCTGCAGTTGTCTCTGTGTTTTCACACAGGACCGTGGAAACAACAACAGTGTGATGAGCAACTATGAGGCCTACAAACCATCCACAGGGGCCATGGGGGACAGGCTGACAGCAATGAAAGCAGCTTTCCAGGTTGGTTCCTTCACTTGGACTCCTCTCCCCTGCAAGTGCAGCAGAGAGGTTGAGTTTGGTGGTTGTGAGTGTGACACACTCAGCATTACAGGCCAAAGTAGTGGAACTGGTGTGCGGGCTGGACTGAGTGTGTTTACACAAATCTGCCAAACTTACTTGGTTTTCTGCTGCCACTTGGCCTTTTTTCCTTCAGATTCTGCTCCTGGGTTTGATCCTGTTGAGGCTACTTAATTGCAAAAAGAAAGAGGGAACAGAAACTCTTCGGTGTAAAAATTAACCCCATGATATAGCAATTCCCTGGTTTGTGTGGTCTGGCTGCAGGTG